TGTACTTGCATTATCCCAGATGTTTAGAAGAATAAATAAATCCTTTGGTAAACACCAAAGATGCAATAACATTTTGTGCATTTTATTAGACAGCACAGAGAAGCATTATAACAATAAAATGTAACCGTAAAACGTATTTAGTATAATAATACAGCACTGCTGTCATCAACATGAAAAGAAAGTAAATGAATGAGTGAACTCTCATAATTTCACACTCATTTACCAGTCAAAAACGCCTTTGTTTGTTGTAAATATGCGCCCTCTGGTGGTGAAAATTGCATACTGTGCCTTTATCATAACACTGAACTACCATAAGTAAAACAATCTGAAATGTCACCATTGAAATTCTTGGAAAACTGCTAAGTTAGTAATAATTTAATTTCACCATTGTATATTGGTTCATGTTTATATCTTCCCTCTCTCCCCTTTTGTTTTTGAATCTGCACTATGAAAGTCCAGGTTTAGGTCAATACACACTATACATACAAATGCTGAAATGTACTACCTCAGACTATAAGTGTGCAGCTTCAACTGTGATTTATTACCTTGCCATTATTTGCAAGATAAACTTGAGATAAATCGAATTATACTCCTAATCCAAAACATTCTCAGTTGTGTTGTCTAAAATACAGCCATATATAGTCCCTGAGCACCAGCTGCTCAAAAAAAAGAGCTTTTACTTTGCTGGAAAAGCTGACCTTATTGCTGGTGCTTTTTAAGGCCATTTTACAAATCACCTTGGCTACAATAACAGGGAAAATACCACGACATTTTCAAAGATTTACACTCAGTTGAATCTCTGAGATGCTATTTTGAAAACATGAAGGTTTAGCTTGAAGGTCATTTTAGTTATACAGTCAATGTAAATGTTTTTTCTTTTTCTGATAAACGGAAATGCTTTTCGCTTACTGTCTGAAAACAGACTGTAACTGTCAGTGACGCATTCATGAATGCTCTTTTTGAACAACTTAACTTGCAAACTGTGAGATACCTACTTTTGCTTTTCTCTTCTGGTTCAGTATTATAAATTGATCTATTTTGTGGCATTATGTTGATTACTACATAAAGTAAAGTCAGCTTGTCCTTTCTTTTTCTTAATTTTTGTTCAAAAGCGAAAAATAAAATGTTTACAGTTTATACTTTTTGGTTGGGGAGGGGGGGGGGGGGGGGGGAGCAAAATGTTCTTAGTTTGTTGTAATAATATACAGTGCTCAGCATATATAAGTACACCCCTTACAAATCTATCTTTTAAATTCATATTTTAATAAGCTATACAATATTATATGTGTGCATTAGATTAGTCAGTACTGAAGCCAAATCTGGAGCTTATCTAATAAAATAACTTACAATAACAGTCCAAAAACTAGCACACCCAAATGTATATGTTAGAAAAATAATAAATACAAATTTAAAAAGAGGAAAAATCAAGAGAAGCAAAAGAAATGGAAAATTTTAGTTGGAATTTTGAGGTTGTAATTTATTTTTGCAATATTTTGCTTGAATTTAAGTGTATTATCTTTCAATTTCTATACATGTTTGGTGACTAAAATATTATTTTAATAAATATATCTGTTTAATAAATCTGTTTTGTTTAAATACACCAAAATACATTGCTTATATTCACTGAGAAATGGACAAAAATATTCATTTTCAAAATGGACTGTACTCAATTATGCTGAGCACTGTATACACGCATATATACACATTTTTAATGGTAGCTTTTAAGGCTTTCTTCAGTTGCAGTTGCTTAGATAACATGCTCTTTTTACTGTTGGACAAGACGATTATTTTTAGTAGTAATTACCATTGAGCCACGAACATTTAACTAGAAAATTCCTTTAATGACCTTGAGCTCTCTTTCTGGTTAGTATTTATTGCAGTTATGTTGCGTCACATTGTTATTCTGTCAATAAATATTATACTGCATTATGTCTGTTTCTCTATTCTGTCTATCTTTTGTCTTTTCCAACCCTGTTGATTCTAATACAAGTTTCCTGGTGCTGATCTGAATTTTATTTAACTTGTACACTATACTTCAAAGGTTTGGGGTCAGGAATATTTTTTTAAAAAGTTAACAAAAGCATTAAAAACTAATGTGGAAAAAATTTTTTGGAAAAAAGTCAAAAATTTTTGTAGCCAAATTATTATGTCTTGATACAAACCCTGTTTTGTAGATGTAATTTTTAATTAATACATCATTTATTCCTCATATAACTGTCTTGAAAGTATTTAAAAGTCTTTAATGACACATTTGATGAATTAAATGCTTTCTAATTGAACAAAAATATTAATATTTTTTAAAAATTGTACCAACCTCAAACTTTTGAACAGTATATATAATTAAATAGTGGGTATCAACTATCAACACACTAACCCTCTCTGTCCTGCTGTCATACCTGTGGCTCTCATTTGAAGCTCAAGATGAAGGAATCTCCAAATTAAATTTGGACTATTTTGGACCTGTGGATGAATGTAGCTCAGATAGTGAAACTGACACTCCACTACCAGGTTAGAACAGAAAGGCTTCGTCTAATTGAAGTGACTGGTGTGCAGTGAAACCTTCTTTTTTTTTTACTTTCCCCTTATATCTGTTATTTCGAAATCAATCTTTGGTAAGCTTATCGTCTCTAGCATTTCTTCATAGTCTAGCATTCTGTCCCTGATTTCCACTCTCTGGACTTTATTACAGTACTGCCTCTGTGAGTATCTCTGCTTTTCTTCCTTTAATCTCATGTTTTAGTGATTCTCTTTGTTTTCTACATCATCTCTAAGATCATGTCATCCTACTTTCAACCATCTTAACTTTCATTTATATATGTTAAAAAGAGATTTTCTGTTCATGTAGGTGTTGATCCAGAGATATATGAACTGACTACAGCTAAAATGGAGAACAACACCACTGGTCGCAACATTGCAGATGCATTTACAAAACTTATGGAGTCTATAGAGAAAACCAAACCAACAGTCAGGTTAGAAAAACATGCATGCATGAATATACACACTATTAACATGCCTAGACCTTTTGAGCTCAAATGAACGGCTAGTTCACAGCTCAAAAGGTTAAAATGGGGTGTGACCATAAATGAGTCAATTCTCATTCTTTCTGTGTCTGTTGACAGGAAACCAGAAACAGATGAAGAGATGAGCGAAGAAGCAGCAAAGGTCATCTCACTTCTCCCTGACCTGTCTTTCATGAAGGCCAGGGTTTTAATGTTCCCCTCCATTTTAACGCCAGCAGCCAATCACACATAACCAATAAGCTTCGAGTTCAAAGTCATTGCATGGTCATTCATTGTTTATCGACAGCTACAGAGAACAGATCAAGTTATTCTTTCTTCCAAACAAAAGAAGACCTTTAATATAACAAGCTAATCATTTGAAAGCTGCCTATTTATTGACTTCTGCAGTTCCCACTATATGTGAAAATATTCAATCTGGGTTTGTTTTGTTCTCAGCAAAAGGGACACGCGGCTTTCATATTTTATATACAGTATTTAGACCAGCATATTAACCTTTTATTATTGCTTATTATGATTTTATTTTAGAGTGTTGTTTGTGAAAATGTGAGTACTTTTCACTTAGAGGTGAAATGCAGAATTGCACATTTTACTACTTGAAACCAGACACACACACACACACACTTTTCTTTTAATTTCTTTGTATTTTTAGAATGTCATTAAGTTCAGTTCTTCCTTTAATTGATTCATTTTAGTTTGTTGTACACCAGAAATGTCCAATCTCTGTCCTGGAGGGACAGTGTCCTACAAAGTTTAGTTCTAACCCCAATCAGAGACCCCTGGGCTAGCTAATCAAGCTCTTACTAGGCTTTCTCGAAACATCCTTGCAGGTGTGTTGAGGCAAGTTGGAGCTAAAATCAGCTGGACACCGGCCCTCCTGGACCGAGTTTGGACACCCCTGTTGTACACCTTCATTTTCTTTCTTTCATTTTTATTGTGTGTAGTTGGTTTATTTATTTTGTTTCCAACAACTGACAAGCACACATTGGGGAAAAAAGAGAATATTGTCATGTAATGGTGATAACTTTTAATAAGGGAACTGCTTTTATACTTGTCTTTGGGGTCACACTTTAATGTTTCCATTTAATAAATGTATTTACTAACGTGAACAATACTTGTACAGCATTTATTAGTGAGAGCTAATCATTTAGTAATGGTTTAATAAATGCAAAGTTTGCTTGTTAACATTAGTGAAAGCACTGAGTAAACAAAATGTCAACAAACAACTTTATTTTTATTAACTAATGTCAAAGTCCCTTTGAGGTGTATTAAGTTTTTGCTAACGTTAACAGAGATGGATGAACTATTGTTGACTGTTAGTTCATGTTTGTAAATACATTAACATTAATGGAACAGCATTTTTGGATGTTTGTCTTGTCACTGTATTATTTTAAGCAAGATCTTTTGCACAATCTGATATAATATGAATATGACAACAGAGCTATGGTGTCTTAAAGATAGAAATGGGTTGTAGCTACTGTTCCTGTGGAGAAAAAAAAGTGTATAAATCAATTTGTTTGTTCTGTTGTGTATGTGTTTTAAAGTTTAACAATAATAAAACTAAAAAGCCTGACAAACTCGTTCCTTTTTGGATGGTTTCAGCATTTAAGATCTGCTTGGATGCTGTGTGTCTTTATTGCCAGCCAATCTGAAAGGTCTAGCTGCTCTGGTGATTTGTGTATCAAGAGGGAGTTCCTGTTGCTGTACATTCTGTTCTTTACTTTTATTGTTTGTACACATTAAGTGCAACTGTACCAATGTATTTCTTTGTATATAAATTATATATGTGACATTTTCTGTCCCATAATTCTGCTTTTTATATTATATGCCAGGTAGTATCCATGTTTCATGCAAATAACAAACATGTTTCTATTCCAGGGTGTTTTCTTCCCCAGTGGGAAGCGTTTGGGAAGGCTCTGCACTTGAGAAAACATTAAGGTGATCAGAACTGTGTTTTACACTTTTAAAACTTGCCTCTTAGACGTTTGCGGATTGCAGTTAAAGTCTGGTCAGGAGCAGAATGAGTTAACGCGCTCATCTGCGCGCACTGAACCGAGCAGAGCAGCAGCTTCTCACCGGCAGCATATCGAGCCCCCGGCCCGGTGATCATGTCCGGTAGTGGAACCCATGAAGCGCTCAGTGGCAGCACGGAGATGGAGCAAAGAGTGAGTTATTGTTCTGTCTGTTCCTCTTTTTTATGCTTACGTTTTGCTCTTGCGGAGGCTGAACGAGTGAACTCGACACTTGCGTTAAATGTGATGCAGGTTTTATTCGCTACGTGGTGATTCTGCAGGCTATTTTAGACACGAATGTTATGGTTGGACAGATTCTGTGCATGTTTTTATATAGCTATTTGTTTGGTTAATGCGGAGCGCTGAAGACGGATCGTTTTGCTACTGCAGTGTCTCCTGGTGACGCAGAGGCAGAATGTAATAATTACACATGTCCGAACGAATCGTTCTTTTGGAGTCGGATCTTTTCATTGAGTCGACTGAACTAGTTTTGGAGTAACATCATCACCATGTATTAATTTTACGAATAATTACTACACGGTTATAATTTAAGTTCTGACTAAACTTAAGAAAATGTTATTTTAAAAAGAACATCATTAGACATTCAAGTAGTATAAAAAAGATGGTCAGTCTAGGCTGTAGTATTTTGAAGTAGTCTTAGAAGAATATTCTGTCTGACAACACTAACACCGTGGACCGTTTTGGCTTGTTTTAATTGCTTACATTGTTTTACTTATCTATTTAAAAATTCAGTCAAAATGTTCTTCACTCACCATTTTTTTTTAAAGATCGGAAATATAATTTGTAAATTGAAATGATTTTTCACTGTCTCTCATCAAATTAGTTTGAAATCACAATATATGGGGAACACAGAGCCGGAGCCCCAGTGAAATTAAATGACAAATGAAATACAAAAGACCGATTAAACTGCAATATTCATTTTTATTGCCGGTTACATTAATATGTTTACGCTGGATCATGGAACTGGAACATTAAAAACTTTAAAAAACAAGATATATTAGCATAAATTAGTCAACGTTCAATATCAGATTTGCATTCATAGTCATAGAAAGCATATGGAATACGAGTATTTAAATATTTCAATTTGCCTTTAATGTTTACAATTAAGTATCAGAATATATGTAAAATAATGTTCCTTTGTTATCCAGTGCAGGAATTTTATGTAAAAATAAATCGATTTTATTCAAACCTGTACATATAAAATACATTTTATTAGATTTAGCACCATTAAAGCATGTTAATTTAATTTATTGCCCCGGGTGCAAAGGAGTATCTGAATCGATATTGAACCACTTCTTTAAAACGAACCGTTTAAAAGAACCGATTCGCGGAAATGAATCAGACTCCATCAGTTAAGCAGCACTGGACAATATTTCATTGCAACAAATCTCATAAAACAACACATTTTTTTGAAAAATCTCATTATCCTCCTAAAATAGTTCTCTCGTTAAGTCAGTTTTTACAGATGGCTAAATTATTGCGCTGTTTTCCCTCTATGATTTCCAGCAACACTTGTCACTGTTCCACGATTGCTAGGGTATTAGAATGACATCTGAGCTGTCCAATTACAGACTGCTTCTATATAGCTTCTCAGACTCGGATTGGCTAGTGATGGGGGCAAGCTGTTCAGAAGGCGGGGCTTGTCGATTAACTGGTAGAGGAGACAAATAATATGCGCAGCTACTGACAGCCTGTGGCCGGCGGTTACTGAACGCTGCGCATCGCTGCACCTGACATGAAATAACGCTGCAGCAGAAAACAGCGGGTTTCCCAACCGGACAGCTGGACTGTTCATTTTTCTTCAAGGAATTTAAAGCCTTGGTATAAAATTTCTCTTTATCTTTGAGTTTTTGAGTCGATGGTTATTTCCAGTTTAACGGCTGTGCAGAATTTACATACGTTCGTTTGCACTTGCATTATGAAAACACATTTCATCTTATCGTAACTTGTGCTTTCTAAATGTATTATAGATGATTATGATGTATTATAGATGATCGTCTTTAGTTATATATTAGAGATTAAATTTAAATTGAAAGCACGTAAGAGCTCATGTAAAAAGCCAAGTTGTTGGAAAGTTTGTCTAAAGGACGCAAACAGCTCGTGAAGCTCCAGGCAGGTGCTGTGACAGAGGGAGGCGCTTTCTTCAAAACAATGAAGAAACTTAAAACCAAACCAGTTCAGCTGCTCAAAAGAACTGTGTTGTAACACAATTGTCAGCTGATTTCACATTGTCTCTACACAACCATTTGGTTTATTAAACTGTTTAATTTTCGAATTATCTTAATCATTCTGCAGTTTAACTGTACAAGCATTGGTCGATGATGATTAAAGGGGAAGGGTTCTCAGAAACCAGAGCTTTTTCTATAAAGTGAGTTGATCTTTTTGGGGGAGAAAACACTTATTTATTTAAGTATTAGAAACTGAAGTATTAAAATAAATATTTCTGTGAGTATACAGTTTTATAAAAGTGTGTTTTTTAAAATAATTTTTGTAAAGTTTTCTTCATTTGGTGACTTCTTGTTGTTTTTTCAAATATTATATTTATTATATGGTTTATTTCAAAAACAAGTACAATGCTAATTTTTAAAATATATTTTAAATATAAGCCACAATATTAAATAAGTCAAATGTTTGTTGCTGGACAGTCTGTTATGAGCAATTCCATTCAAATGTCAACCTTGCCATAGAATAGTAAAGTGTGAAACGCTTTATATGTTTGTTTATTTATTTATTTATTTATTTATTTATGTAGACTTGTATTTACCAGTACTGTAAAAAATGTCTCTGTCAATGTTTTCAAACAATTATATTTGATTTACTAAAGTCACACAAGTACCAATTTCACATCTGTCACATCCATAATGGAGAGATGGAACATTCACAATGAAGCTTTTTTTCTCATAGATGTGAAAGGGTTGTGCAGATAACTTTATTGCATTTCTTTGCTTTTAATTTACTTTTTGGTCACATTCATAACGCATGTTTATTTTCATCATTTTTAATTAAAAAATCTAGTCTACAGATTGATATTTTTTTATCTTATTACTCTTTGGTTAGTTGTTTTGGAAAATATAAACAGATGTTTTAATATAACACTAATATAAGCTTTTTATGAGATTTTATGTTTTGAGTTTTTACTGAAAATGTCACATGCATAACGCTGGAATTGCTCATATATCAAATTATTACATTTAATGTTATTACACAGTAGTAAATTGAAGTGAGTATTGTCTAGTATGGTTACCCAAACTCGAAATTGGTCCTCTCAATCTTATTGGGTTTTACAGTACTCAATTGGTTTGAGTTCATTTATTGAGTTTTACTGTGCTCAGATTGCTTTATTTACTCAAATGGTTTGTTGCAATCGGTTTTCTCAAATGGTTTGAGTTACCTCAACTTTTTGGGTTTTACAGTGTAGTAGTAACTTTTAAAATGCATTTTTTAAAATTTAGAAGGGGAAAAAGAAGCCTAATCATCATAATAATCATCTAATAATCATTGATTACACATCCTCAAATCTTCATCATCATTATTTTTCTCTCTCTAAGACAGCACTAACACAAGGATCTGAGATTAGGAAACTATTTGTGTGTGTTTTGTGATTTAAATATTATGATTTAAATGTGCAGCAATTGAGGTGAGATTCTGTGAAAAGAAAATGAGAGATTACAGATTGCAGTGCTGATGACCCACTTTGCTCCATCCGGAAAGGGGATGGTCAGTTGCAGAATCTGTGCTGTTTCTTAGAAACCAATGTAAGGATCACAGAAAAGGCATCATATTTTGTTTCATCTTAACAATATAAGTGCATGTCATTGTTCCAGACAGCAGCACAAAGACATTTCTTTGTATGCTTTTCAGGAAGTCTGCAGTAACTATTGTAAATCTCATGTTTATCTTAGTTTCTTTAAATATTAACCTGTTGTAATATGTAACTCTTGTATTCTTCTCTTTTTATGTAGAGCTTGGAGAGTGGGACTATGAAGACTGACTTGGAGGCTGGGAGTTTCAGCGCTGCAATCCACTGCCACGATGTGTGCCGTTCATACGGGAAACTTAAAGTTCTCAACAATCTCAACCTGACATTACCTCAGGGTCAAATGTGAGTTCAGCATTTTCTGTTTCGAAATGTGTTTACAGATGCTGCGCCAATTATGCATTTTCACTTTAAGCAGGAAAAACTGCCTAAAAGCTGACATGTCACATGCATGCCTTCATATATCACATCAAAACCCTTCAAGAAGTTGATGTAATATTGAGATTTACATCAGCTTATCTCATTGCCTGTAGTGTTATCACATTGTTATGATCTGCTGCAGTGCTGATAAGCCTTATCCGAGCGATGTGTATTGTGTAAGTGTTTGTTTCCTTTTCCTAAAGTAACGCTTAGTTGACATTTGTTTAGCTGTCTGAAAAGAAGTGGATCAGATTATGTTTGTAAAACTGCAGCTTTCCAGAAATTCCATTCAAAACATTGTGACTGGTCTTGCAAACATTAATTGGAAGGAGATTTTTAAGAAAGACAAAAAATGATTCGGGACACATGTATTTTTATGCTTTGTCCTATTCTTTTTATTCATGCCTTGTATTTTAAAATATTTAAAAAAGCAATTTATTTCTCTAATGGAAAAATGCACTTGGAGCGTTACTCCAGTTTTGGGTGTCCCATGATCCATCAAAAAATATTTTGATTTGGTCCACAAGAAACCTTTCTTATTAACAACACACATTTTCAGGAATTTGTGATAGACAAATACTAGACAAAATACTAGTCTTCAGTAACATTTTAAAATACTTTTTGATCCTTTCAATGTTTTCTCTTTTGTTTGAAAGACATTTCTTTTTGAGATGCGTGTGAGGCTAGGGCTGGAAAATATAGCCAAAATTTATATCACAACATATTTCTAAATTTTGTTGATTACTTAGTTCTGATGTCTATTTAATATTTTAATAGCCCCAGAAAAGAATGCCCATTATGTCTGTACAAAGTCTGAATTCATTCATTCATTCATTCATTCATTCATTCATTCTAAACCACATGTCTTTGGACTGTGGGGGAAACCAGAGCACCCGGAGGAAACCCACGCAAACACGGGGTGAACATGCAAACTTCACACAGAAATGCCAACTGAACAAATCAGCGGCCTTCTTCCTGTGAGGCGATTGTGCTACCCACTGCGCCACTGTGTCATTCATGGTCGAACGCTATATTTAATATTGGAATACTGGAAATGTCCTTTAAAATCATATATACACACACACACACACACACACACATACAGTCAGGTCCTTAAAAAATGGGATATCGACAAAATGCTAACATGGCTCAATATACCTACACATTGGGTTTAGTATGAAACAAGATGTGCTCTAACTGCAGACTGTCAGCTTTAATTTGAGGTTATTTACATCCAAATTCAGTGAACGGTGTAGGAATTACAACAGCTTGCAAATGTGCCTCCCACTTGTTAAGGGACCAAAAGTAATTCATTTAATTTCATGTTTGTATATATGCAGTGCTTAGCATATAGGAGTAAACCCCTCACAAATCTCTCTTTTAAATTAATATTTTAATAGGAAATTATACAATATTACGTGTGTGCGTATACATTAGATTAGTCAGTACTGAAGCCAAATCTGGAGCTTATCTAACAAAATAACTTACGATAACGGTCCAAAAACCAGTACACCCAAATTTATGTTATAGAAAAATATTAAATGCAAATTCAAAAAAAGAGGTAAAAATTTTTTTTGCAATATTTTGCTTGAATTTAATCATTTTCAAAATGGGGTCTACTCAATTATTATGCTGTGCATTTTATATATATATATATATATATATATATATATATATATATATATATATATATATATATATATAATTATATATATATATATATATAATGCTATATATATTTTTATTTTATTTATTTATTTATTTATTTATTTATTACGAAGAATATTGATGTCAAATTATTGTCCAGCCCTAGACTAAGCACAGACTTTTTCCTAATTCCCCGAAATTTTGACCAGCTCAAATATACCTAAAGAGTAGGTTTTGACTTATCAGACTTGATGTGTTTTTCTCACTCTTGTTTCCTGCCCTTAGTTATGGACTGCTTGGGCCTAGTGGTTGTGGGAAGACTACGCTGTTGAAATGCATCGTGGGAACTCTGAAGATCTCTCGTGGTCATATCACAGTGTTGGGAAAGCCACCAGCTTTCCCAGGACATGAAGTGCCAGGAAAGATGGTGGGATACATGCCACAGGTGAGAGTTGAAAGGAACTTATAAAGCATAATGCATGATTGTTACCAACGAAGGGAAATCTCTAGAGTCCCATGTATTTTCTCTCTGCCCTCAGGACATAGCTCTGTACAATGAGTTCACTATCAGCAATACATTATGGTTTTTCGGTCGAATTCATGGCCTTTCATCTAAAGAGACAGAAGCCAGGATGAGTTTCCTCATCGATTTTCTGGACCTGCCACAGAAACACAGCCTTGTCAAAAATCTCAGGTAGAATAACGTATTTCACAATCGTTGCAAGCCATTTTTTTTATTAAATTGATACTTCAACAACAAAAACTGAATACATTACATCATATATGAGAGAGTATGAGTATTCTGAAGCAATACGACAAAGAAACAACTCAATGTGTTTGTGGCATGTAGGAAAGTTGTTTTATTTTGGGGTTATGAATGAGTGTGTTTGAAACTAAACAAGACTGAGTAAACACTGAGGGAGGGAGGACGATGAAACGAATTGAGGCATCATGTGTGACCCAGTTTTTCAGACTCTTCTGACAGCACGTTCTCATCTGAGCTTGCCAAATGACATCATGCATTCAAAACCTTTGCAAAAAACGGCATCCATTTATCTGGCCGTTCTCTTTCTGAAAATTCTCACGCTTCCTCTATTAGGGGCCATGCAGTAACTAAATGCTCATGTGACCACAGGCTTTATATATAGACTGTTGCAGCTGAATGAAACTAGATGAGGGATTAAAGCAATATGGGCCAAGAAGACATGGCTTACAGTGAATGTAAGGGACGTTGTTATGCAATTGTGGTTCCAGGGGCTTATTTCTTTAAAAATAAAACACAATAAATATACTAAATGCAAAAAAGACTATATGCCTTCGTTAGTTGTCAGTTCGTAGCATAGAGCATAGTCAAAAGACGTGTAACTGGAGAACCATACAGTACCAGTCTTGAAAATAGAATCTTTTCAATAATATTCTTTCTGCACTTTAGAAACTGAGGGCTTTTGTCTGAAACCGAAGTCACATTTACAGATAAAGTGAAGAATGAAGTAATGTTCCAGTGCTATAAATGACTATTGTGCATGTACTGTTTTAAAAATACATTTCATTATTGGTAGTACTATTATTGTTATAAAGTGAAACTACACACCATAGATTGTCTTGCACTGAAGCCGAGGAATGTAAAGCATTAGACGTTTAGTTTGGTTGCAAGAAGGCGGCTATGTATTGCTGTCCTATGGATGGAGCCTGTCTGGTTTTGTTTTCACAGCGCTGAGCTGGCTGTAGGCAGGGCTCATCCTTCTGAAAAGTATAACAATGGCCCTGAAGGCCTTAGAGATCACACTAGTCTGTTCTCATTGACAGCTCGGGTTAGTTAAGGAGGAGTTCTGCTAGGTCTTGTGATGCCTTGTGTTTGCTATTGTTTGTCTTATTTATTTAAATAGTTGATGTTTATTTAGAGACTTTTAAAAAACTTTAATTAATCTGGTTTTGCATTTTGACTGAATGCCATTTAAAGTTCACAACTTCACACATCGGTTTTAATTAAATTACAAAAAATAAAACAAGAAAACATTTTAAAGTTTTTTTTATGTATTTCTCTGCTAACAGTTTGCTTTTCATATTTTATTTTACTTCAGTCTATAATTTTTGGCTTTGTAGTGTTTCATTTCTTGATTTTTTTTTAAGTGATTTTTTTTACTATAAACTGAAAAAATCGTTTTTGTTTTTTTTGGTGATATTTATAAACTGTTCACTTACATAAATTTTTTGTTCGCTTTGTTCAGTGGTGGTCAGCGGCGACGCGTCTCTCTTGGAGCTGCTTTGCTTCAGAACCCAAAACTTTTGATCCTGGATGAGCCCACTGTAGGAGTGGACCCTGTTTTGCGAGCCAAGTATGTATTACTGTAAATACCTCTCATGTACACTTCTACAACCTTTTCCCATCACTTTTAATAACCCTTTACATACTGCTAGCAATACTAGTCTTTTTCTTTCATTTATGTAGTAGGGGATGAACTTTATTCTGCATTCTCTAAACATAACACTTGTTGTTATACCCTGTTACTACCTCCCTCTGCCCCCCCCCCCCCCCCTCTCTCTCTCTCTCTTTCTCTGACATTTGATCGTAGCATTTTTGCACATGCATAACTTTGCCATTATTACATTCCTCTTAAACTAAAAGCTTTCTCAGTGTCTTGCGTTCCACTGCAGACTGATACTCAGATCTAGTCAACTAAAACTATTTTCAGAAATTGTTTTATTGGTTTGTTTTAATTATTATAATTAGAACAATTATTCATTAACTTTCACAATGCTTAATAATCTAGGCACTCAAATCACATTGAATTTTTCTTGCATGCCTTTGTTTGATTTTTCTGTGCAAGTGTGTCTTGAGTATGTGGCATGCCTTGGATTATCCTGCTTTCTATAGGCTCAAGATTTCCCCTTATTACAACCCATTAAAAAATTTTCAGGGAAAGCAGCTTTTTGCCTTAAGTTCTCAGTGGCAATCTTTATTTTATTTTTTTTTGTTTAAGAAGTTTATGAACAAAAGGAGGTAAAGAATGTTGAAGAACAGTAAGTAGAAATATGAATGGGGGAAACAGGGTCACTATGTCACATACTTGCATTATTAAAGGAATAGTTTATGCAAAAATAAATGTTTGTATTTAATTTACTCACTATCAGGCCATTATTAAATAAATCATTAAATAAATTTCAAGTAAACAGCTGCTATGAATTTATTTACTAGGCAAAACTCTTAGTGATACTTTGACATATTATGGAGGGAAATGTTTGGTCAATATCAATAGCTTTATTGTGTGGTGGGGGGTGTTTAAAAAGGCTGACATTCTAAGAGACATAAGTTTGCTATATTTCTTAATGTAGTTTTTCATATAATTTGGCTCATTTTTTTTGCTGAGTTCACATAGATTTCAGTGAGAACCTGTTGAACCTTGCTGAAATCTTCTTACACAACAAAGCCTGTCTAAACCTACAATCATTTTGGGGAGCTTTTCTTTGTAATACTAACCTATGCATTGTGTACCCTTCAAAGAAGGTCAAATTACTTGTACAAAAGTTTGTGTCAGGTTAGGTGAGAGAATTTCATTGTTTTGAAAGTGGCTAGAGTCAATCAATGTGAAATAATACAAAGTGTACTCTATTCTTCAGTATATCACATGATCTCTTAGGAATCACATTAGAACTTTGTGGAATATAAAATTCCCATTGGAAAATTCAAAGGAAATTGGGTTTGAATCTTGCTTGTGATATTATCTGAGAACTTGGAATGTTAACTTTATAGTTTGGATTTCCAGAGGATAATTACTAATAAAAACTGAAAAGTTAAAGGTTCCTGTGGCCAAAGGATATTATATATATCCTGTGGCCAAATATATATATATATATATATATATATATATATATATATATATATATATATATTTTTTTTTTTTTTTTTTAAAGAACTGGACTAATGGAGCAAACTTCCTCTTCTGCAGGATATGGCAACATCTGGTAGAGATTGTAAGAGGAGGACAAGTGTCCATCATTATTACAACACATTACATCGAGGAGGCCAGACAAGCCAATACAGTAAGATACCTTCCCAAACTGCCCTATAGCACAGCTGTGCCAGAATTAATTCCTTGCTGCTGCAACATATTTAAAACTATCTCCTAACCCCACATCATGTTGAAATATAGCAAGTTATTAGTATTGACAGATCAATACATTTTTGACCATTATACTGAGGCTAAATACAGCAGATATTTATAACTTAAGAAACTATTTAAATTTCATTCATTCAGTCATTCATTCATTCATTTTCCTTCGGCTTTGTCCCTTATTTATCAGGGGCAGCCACAGCAGAATGAACCGACAGCTATTTCAGCGTATGTTTTATGCAGCAGATGCCCTTCCGGTACTGCGAAACACCCACAAACTCACATTCATACACTACTGCCAATTAGTTTATCCAATTCACCTGTAGCACATGTCTTTGGGCTGTGGGGGAAACCGGAGCATCCAGAGTGCTAGGCACTGAGCCACCAAGCCATTTAAATATCTTTGCATTTATTATTTTAGCTTAAGGATATTTAACATAGATATGCATAATGCATATTGATAAATTAGTAATTCTAAGACTTCTGTGTTAATGTGTGTGTCTCGAACAGACAAACAACTAGTTGTGGCTTATTCGCCAAGTGAACTTTGTACTGTGGCTCATTACATAACCTTAAAACTAGTTTTTGGTAAAAATGTACACACGAGCTTCTATGTCTAATTTAGCAAACATTTATTTAAACACAATGTTGATATTGACACCATTGACTACTAATTGATGGTCTTTACTGTGTATTACATCAAAAAAGACACTGGTTGTAGACAACACATTCCAGAAGTCATCTGACTCTATTGTTATATTTTATTTCTCTTCAAAGCGTTGTTTTTCCAGTTTGTCCTCAGGGCATGATGCCTGTTATGTTCAGAGTAGCTCATAATTGTGTGTGACTGCGTAGTCACACAGCCAGTCAGTTGATTTATTACTGAGTCACATGCTTAAATGACATGGTGACTCTAAGGCACAATCACAACATGCGTATTCACAGTACATTCGCATATTTACTTGTCCTAAAGCAACAGAAACTTTGAACAGTGATGTGGATTTAAAAATATGAGAACTATTCCTTAAGCAACAATACTACCCACCTCTTCTGTGTGTCTAGTGTCCTGACATACTTGTTTGTAAGATCTTAGGTACTTCTGTGTTCTTTGGTTCTTAACTTACTTCCAATGGCCTCGCGATGACTTAAAGTTACTAAAAATACCACAAATCAATGTTAAAGCCCAAAACAACTAAAATAAAAATACACAGGGAGTCATCGACAAAACAAGAAACAGGTTTGTAACTTAATTAGAAACCATTGCAACAAATAAATAACAATTATTCAGGCAAATATTAGTAAACAAATAGAAGAAAGTTAGATAAATGCTTAGGTTTTATGCAGCGGATGCCCCTCCAGCCACAACCCAACACTGGAAAACATCCATACGCATTCATACACTATGGCTGATTTAGCTTATTCAATTAAACATATACCGCATGTCTCTGGACTGTGGGGGAAACCAGAGCACCTGTAGGAAACCCATGCCAATACTGGGAGAACATGCAAACTCCACACAGAAATGCCAACTGACCCAGCTGGGACCCGAAACAATGACCTTCTTGCTGTCAGGCAATCCTGCTACTCACTCCGCCACCGTGATGCCCCTAATGCACAATAATATAATGGTATTTAATACAAATAAGTACACTTATACTTTAGTCTTCAGTTTCTCAGATTTAACTCCTGTAAAACAAGCCTTTATACTCCAAACTTTTTCAAAAATAATAATAATCCAGAGTAAGAGCCACATCATGTTTTAATAAAAATATGTTGTAAGTCATGCATATTGCAAACTCTGTTTTTGTTTTTAACATATGCATACCAATGAAGTGTCATTGCCATAAACCAATGCAGACGTTCCAGTACACGAAAGAGTCCCTTGGTACAAACAAATCTGATCTTAACAGTTGCAATACAGGGAACTATTTAGGTCAAATTCCAGTCGCATGCACAGATAACTTGATTTGGAGTGACGGTAGATGAAGAGAAAAGGATTTATAGTATATATAGTATACACTACCTGACAAAAGTCTTGTCATTGATCCCAGTTGTAAGAGCAACAAATAATAACATGACTTCTAGTCAATCATTTGGAAAAGTTGCAGAAGGTAGATTTTTTTTTTTTTTTTTGATGATTCATCTGTTAAACTGCATTCCAAATCATCAAAAATACTACAGAAGACCTATTGGAACCCTGATGGACCCAAAATTCTCAGAGAAATCAGTCAAGTTTGGTGAAGGAAAAGTCATGGTTTGGGGTTACATTCAGTATGGGGGCGTGTGAGAGATTGTGAGAGTGGCATTTGTGGCAACATCAACAGCCTAAGGTATCAAGACATTTTGTATTGTCCATTACATTACAAACCACAGTAGAGGGCAAATTCTTCAGCAGGATGGCACTCCTTCTCAAACTTCAACCTCCACATTAAAGATCTTGAGAAAAAAAAAAGAAAGTCAAGGTGCCCCAGGATAGGCCAGCCCAGTCACCAGACATGAACATTATTGAACATGTCTAGGGTGGGATGAAGTAGGAGGCATTGAAGATTAATCCAAAGAATCTTGATGAAATCTGAAAGTTCTGCAAGAACGCTTTCTTTGCCACTGGGAGTCATACACAATATTAATTCTTTTTCCACTGCACCATGACTTTATATTCTATACTGTACATTATTTCTGTTAAGTGACAAGACTTTTGTCTAAGCAAAGTCAGACCTTACTGTCCTAATTAAATAATTAAAAATCAAGTCATGATCATATTTTATTTTGGTCAAATAAACGTAATTTAAAGTTCTTTGACTTTCATTTAAGACACTTCTGATACCAAATGATCAACTAGAAGTCAACTTACTATTTGTGGTTCCTAAAACTTGGATAGGCGACAAGACTTTTGTCATGTAGTGCATATATTATTTTCTTAAAGTGAATAATTATCTGAACTGTTTCTAATTTTCCTTGAGGATATTTGTAATTAAATCATCTAAAAACAAAGTTGAAGCATGATTGATTGCTTTATAAGTATTCTAGTTTATAAGTGAGCAACTTGTAAGTGATAATAAACTTTGTGTTTCTCTATCCGTAGGTTGGATTGATGAGGAATGGTCGGTTGTTGGCTGAAGGTCCACCCGATGCTGTTATGAAGCAACATAATGCAGCAGTAAGTACACTGTAAAGAATACTGGCTTCCACAAAATCGATTTGTGTTGGGACAACATAAAGCAATTAAGTTAACTTATTAATTTTTGCAAACTTAAGTCGATTTAACACAAAACAATTAAGTTGTCCCAAAAAAAGTCAACAATTGCATTGTTTCAAGTCGTTATAAATTAGTACTCATCTAATGTACATGAACATGTTCTATGATTCTCATCAATATAATTACTTATATGATCTGTCTGAATAGACATTAGAGACTGCGTTCCTGCAACTTTGTGAGGACTCTGATCAAAGCGGCCCCAAACAGAGTCCTCAGGGCCGTCTGCTGGACAGCAGCCCATCTCCAGACAGCATGAGGGATGAGATTCGTGAGCCCATATTGAGAAAGAGCACATCAGAAGAAATGCCTAAATGTAAAGGTACAACTGAGAGAGAAGTTAATAAAAAGAAGTAGTTCAACTAAATCAAACAGAAAGCTGCTTTTGTACAACACGGATATATATAAATGGATCTGGTTGCATAGCTAAATATAACTAAGAATAGCAAAGCAAGCTTTGATCAGCAATATAACTGATGCCTGTAGTTGAAATATTCTTGTGTCTCCACAGCTGACTGGAAAGTGCGTGCCAGACACATCATACCTAAATGGAGCAACATTGCAGCACTGATGATCAAGACGATGGTTCGAATGAGAAGATTGCCAGGGTATTAAACTGATATCACATAATAAAAAGTTCTGTCCTGACACCCTATTCTCAGACAGCATGTTTGTGAATACAGTATATTGGCAGTAGCAAGTGCAGAGGCATAAACATTGCCATTCAGTACGACACTAAATCTCTCCATGAATTGTCATGACAGAACTGTGATGATGTGTTTATAATACTACGCTTCGTATGATAGGTGCCCTCCCTTTATACTCCGGCCCTCCAGAAACACATGAATACACATTGTTTGTTGGACTGAAAGTGCAAGCACATCCACTAGATATCATCCAATTGGTTGAGCAAACAATAATTGGGCTCATTAATCAATGCTTATTTATAATTGGAGTAAGTTTTCTGTCTTTTTCTGTGTACAACGGTGGGCTTGTTTTTCGAATTAGTTTTTTTGTGTCTGAAAAATTGAAACACATCAGCTGCAAGTACAAGTCTTATCAATACAGACTTTTTTGTGGGTAGTGCTGTCGCCTCACATCAAGAAGGTCGCTGACTCGAGCCTCGCCTGGGTCAGTTGGCATTTCTGTATGGAGTTTGCATGTTCTCCCTGTGTTTGCGTGGGTTTCCTCCTGGTTCTCCGGTTTCCCCCACAGTCAAAAACATGCGCTGTAGGTGAATTTGGTAAGCTAAATTATCCTTAGTGTATCCATAGTGTTCAGTTAAACACTTTTTCATTTTACTGTTCTGGTTTACCTGATTCTCATATGTTTATTACATACACAAGAGTTAAATCTGCTGTCACGTTTAGTAGAATTTGCAAAAGTAACTTATAATACAACTTGTAAAATACAAGCTAAAAAATGTGCTGCTTTCTGTTCAGATAATATGTTTCAACCCAAATCATTTTATATATGCGTGTGTTTGTGTGTTTCTCTGGTTTATACTCAGGTCCCTCTGTTTCCAGTTTCTGTTGCCTGTAATTCAGATCTGTCTGATGTGCCTGTGTATTGGCGGAGACCCCAAAAACATTGATGTTGCTGTGGTCAATAACGAAAGTAGTCCCAGTGCCTTCAGTAGATCTCTGCTGTCTTTTCTTGACAACACAAGTATTAACCAGGTACAGACACACTTGTTTTTAAACACAGAATTTAAAGACTGCACGTTACAGAGTGGTGGAGAAATAACTTTAGAAACCCAGAAGAGTAATCACCATGGGTTTCCTTAAGATTTCCTTATGGGGTTTTAAATGGTGGTTTGCAATAAAAATAATAAAATAAGGTAATTGGTTAGCATTATTAATGTTATTATGGTTAACATTATCATTATTATTATTAAATATGATAGTAATTGTGAAACAAATTTAAATATCTGTTTCTTTTTCCTGTCTCTAAAATTCTGTTGCACTGTAGAGGCTTCTGTCACAAAATCAAATCCTTCATGTGTGAACATACCTGGCAGTAAAGCTCTCTCTGATTCTGATATACAGTATAAACTGCAGAGATTCATAGACCAAATGTTCATCTATTGTCACTATATCTAGAAACATTTTTGTAATGAAAAAACAGTGCACTCAGTACTGCTCATAATCAAACTTCACATCTTAGGCCATTTATATGATATAAATATACATTTAGCAGAAATACTGTTCAATCATGTTTACCGCAGATGTTATTTTACCCTTAAACTAAAAAAATCTCACAAGAAATTCTAGAACGTATCTTAAAAAAGAATAGAAAGTTTGCAGGCTCCTTTCAATTCCTCTTTTCTCTGTATCACTTCAACAAATTAATCAGGAACAAAAACAAATAGGATAGATTTTAGATTTAAAATAGATATAGAAAGTGTATATTTATTTTCAGCCTTCATTTATAGATTGAAGAACGCTTTCCTTTTTGCTTTCTGCAGGTTAGCTTGTCTCATTCAGATGCTTTTGATGGTATTCGAAATGGGGAATACTGGGGAGTCATAGAGTTTGGAGAGAATTTCACCAGCTATTTAACTAAAAGGTAAGCGCCAGTGTTTCACAAGTTTGAAATGTTCAACCTGAAAGAAGATGTTTTGTTTTATAGAATGCCACTGTCCTAAATACTCACCTTGAGAAATATACATTTTCTCCAGGTTAGTTCAAAAGTGTGATTCATTAAGGAATTAGAAATTGAAAATGTGGCGCAGTGTTGGGAGAAATTACTTTTAAAAGTAATATATTAAAATCTTAAACCCAGCTGAGATGAAAAAAATGCAAAAATAAAATAACACATTACTTTCCTTAAAAAGTAATAAATTAACACATTTAGTTGCTTTTGTAAGTGACTGCAGATTGTAATATACTACCCTTAAAAGTAATATTCCCCAACTCATTAGGTTATCAATCAAGTCTCTTTGCTATGCTTCTTAATGCGTCACAGTTGTTCTTACATGCAAATTTAACCATCCATCCTATTAACTTTGAGGTTCACTTTCCCCAGCTGATCAAATATCTCACACCACAGACAAACACCTGCCTCAATAGTCAACACTCAACCAAGTCAACACACTCACACAACAACCTTCCATCTTTATGCAATCAAATAGAAGTCAGTATGATTAATAAAAAAATAATCAGTGCTTATAAATTTTTTCCCAATTGCCATGAAACATCAGCTCTTTGTTAGTCATTGCATCATCAGCTGAGGTGTTTTCCCTTTAGCCTAAAAATGCAAGGATGTGCGTAAACAAGGTGACATGTCTTGTGACTATGTCTGTAACATAGTGTTGGGAGAGGCTACAGGAGTGAATCACTGTGTTTTTAAGCAGAGAAAAGCAGGTCTGTCCTGTCTGTCAGTCTGTCCACCTGACATGTTATGTAGATCTCTGTCATGCCTTTTCAATATCACACACTCAAACACGCACCAGTTTTGCCTTTCTTTAGGGTTTGAATAAGTATAGCAGCTGCTTGGAATTATAAATGTGTAAAAAAATGTTTATTTAATTTGCTTTTTACTGTGGAAATATACATTTATGGTATGGTGATTGTTTGATTTAGGGTTAGTTGCATGTTCGAATGCATAATTTATTGTGATTAATATGTTAAGTGCATTGAATGTGTAACAAGGACACAACGAATGAAGTATTACCAATGTTTAATGTGCAGGATGTTGCAGCCACGGGTGTCCAGAGAAGTGGTTGAAGGAGGATCTGTACATGCATGGCTGGATCTGACTAGTGAGTCTTATTCATCTTTAGTCAATGAATATTACTCAGCTTTAGAGTTTCTCAATCTCACATTGCTGCCACACGAGGTCACCCTTTTAGCCTTGAGACAACACTGCTTTCTATTTTTTAGTAGTGTTTCAAGCGAACAACCTTTTTCCTAATAGGTGAATGTTTGCAAACTTTGCATACAGGTTAATTTATGAGGCTGAACGCTAACATAAAACTGATCATCATTAAATTTAGCATGTATCTTTCTTGTTTTTCGTGCTTATAATTTATTAAGTTTTAGCATCAATATGAGTTAGTCATGAATATTAAGCTTAAGTATATTTTAAAGTGTATCATTATGTCACATTTCAACATTTCAGATAGACAGATTGCCCTAATGCTACAGAAAAAACTCCATCAGGCTTTTGAGGTGAGTAAATTACTTGTAAAATGTACATTTAAGCTTTGTACCATCATTCAAATATTTCAAATGTGTTTTTCAAAAGGCTTTTATGGAGAAAAGGCTGGGGAGTATGTCATACATGGTGGCTGTCCCAATAAAAGTGAGTACAGCAACAGTGTGTGGTTTAAAGTCTTATTTTTCTTACTTTATCCGCTTGTTAAGTCTGATGTCACACGAAGCAGTTTCCGTTGACTTCGGGATCCAATGCTCTATCAAACTGTATGGGGAGGCTCAACAAATAGTAATAATAAACATTTACAAAGCACTGTAGTACTTAATATATAATATATATATATATATTTATATAATGACTAATATCAGATTGCCAGAAAGTGATTAATTGTTAAAATATTGATGTCTGTGACACAAGTCCAGACACTGTTGTATACACCATGATTCCATTAACAATAAAATCACTTTAAAGTGTGATATGACTTAAAAGGGGTCCCAGAAATGGTATTCCATACGTCACGACTTAACAAGCGGAATAGTTTTTTATCCTTATAATTTTTCTTATATTTTGTTGTTGTGTTTTTTTATTCTTTCCTTTTAAAACGGCTTTCTATTTTTGTTTAATGTTTATTTGTAGTTTGAAGAACCTATATATGGCAGTAAGAACACAGATTTCACAACATTTGTTACTCCAGGAGCTGTTTTGAGGTAAGCACGCATGCATATTCACTTGCATAAATGAAATGATTTTCACATTTGTGCACATACACACCCTTACAACCACAGATAAGTGTTACTACAGTGTCTAAATACATGATGAAACTGTTTCTGCTTTTCTTTCTTCTTTTAGTATTACGTTTTATCTGGCTGTGGGGTTGACCGCTCTGTCTTTTGTGCTAGAGAGGAAGGAGGGTCTGTTAGACAGATGCTGGGTGGCAGGTGAGATAGCTCACATCCACCAGATACCCATCATTTCACATGAATCACTATACAGTTGAATGGAGTATTTGACATTGTGTCATGTGATGACTACTGACAAATGAAACAAATAAGTAGACATATTTAAAGGAGAAGATTCACTGCAAACTCACAGTGCGTTAATCCAACTTGAATGAGCAATTTAGCCAGTTTACACAAATATGTGTAGCCCAGATTGTGTGTGTGTTTTTGTATGGGATGGCAATTAGAATAAGTGGACAAAATGTAGTTTTATCAAATTTAGCCCTTACACTTTCTTCAAGAATTCATAAATGAGCAGTTGTAGAGATTTACCAACAGGGGGAGCTGATCACCTATGTCATCAAAAGCCACTAACAGAGGTTATAAGTCCCTATGAAATCAACTTTGTAATTTTTTTGCCATTTGTTGTGAATATGTTTGCCTTTAAGCAAATACATTCCAAAGCAATAACAACATTTCTATTTAGAAGATATATGCATTCAAAACTTACAGTCTTTTACTTCTGCCAATATGATACTATGGTTTTGATGACATTATATTGCAGGTCAGCTATTTATCAGATTTTCAGTCCAAACAAATGCGAACTAAAATGTAAAGCATCTGTATTTATCATGCTAAATACATTTTAGGATTCCATTAAAATCCTCTACTCACAGTTTTATGACACAACATCTGCACAACATATCAAATATGCAACATATGCACAACATATCAAAGCGGCTTTGGTGTTTTCCTGTTTTTTATAAAACCAAAATGGAAAATGAGGATCTGACATCATTCAGATGGTGTTGCCAGATTGGGTGGTTTTGAATTTGATTGTGCGGGTTAAAAATGGCTTAGGTGGGTTGACAACATTTGGCATTTATATAAATTTTATATAATTTCTTTTTAACAAAACCTAACTATATGCTCTTAATCTATTCAACTAGTAGTGACCAATGATGCGTAGCGCAAACTGTAGCCCACCCGCAAGCAGGTGAAGGAAAGTTGTATCAAAATCTGACTCCGATTCGCATGCATGCGCAGCATGTGCAGCTTCTGCAACTTACAGTGTTTTTTAAAAAAACTTTTATCGATAATTTTTCCTGCAATTGACAGCAAGAAAAAACATAGAAATGTTTTCTGATTGACAAACAGCACCTAATTATGTTCAAAATTATTACATTTTTTATGCATTTACGCCATTATGCTGAATACATACTAGGAATCCATGGGGCTGCTGTGGAAGCTGGAAATCATGTCCTGCTTCTGTTGTGTTAAACAAATCATCGTTTTGTGAGTGTCCAAATTAATTATTTTTAGGCTCACCAGATTTACTAGAGACACATTGGAACACACAAGCTAATTGATATCCTTAAAACTAATAGACTTAAACTAACATCTACTAGTACTTTATTTTAATTATTAATCATGGGATATTTAATGCAAATAATTTATAAACTATTTAAATATCATCTTTAAACAAATAAATCCACAGTATATGGGTGAATAGGTAGTTTAATCTACAGAACAATAAGTGCAGTGTTGTGATGTGATCCAGTTATGTTGAAATTTTACTATTGTGGTTCTGTGACTGCTGGTGTTTGTAATTTGTTTACAATATACACTATATGGTTAAAAAGTCTGACAATTAAAGTAACAAATTATTATACAAATTAGCTAATTTCTGATTTAAATAAATTAAAATTAAATAAAATATTAATCTAATTTTTGGGTGCGTTTTTGTGCGATTGGGTGGGTTTTGGACAACTTTTGGGCTGAAAGACATCAGCTATATCTAGCAACACTGGATAACACAGAACATGGATCAAGTCACTAGTTAAAATTGCTTATTTTAAAACTTATAACAATGTTCTACATTTGTTGTTTAAATATTTTAATGGAAAAAATCTTACATGCTTGTACAAACAACTTATTTAAAATGAAACAATACAATTGTCCAGTTTTTTGGTTGTACAACTTAAATGTTTTTACAAATTTAATTTGATTGAACAGAACAATTAGGTTAACTTAATCAATGTGTGTTGGGAACACATGAAGGAATTGTGTGGAATCCTGTATTTTTAAAGTGTTTTTTGAAAAAGAACATTTTCAAACAAATGAGATTGCACACATTCACATTAGTTTGAAGCCACTGAGCGACTAACTAGCTAATAAAGTTAGCATAGTTATGTTCTTTTTTTCAGTCTAGAAGCTCATCCTTTAACCAAATAAATTGTTCAGCAATAACCTACTTTTACTCAAGATGGAGTGCTTATTTGCTTAATTTGCAGGTTGTTATGTTATCCTGTGTGATCTTGTTGGCATTTCATTCATGTGTTTGATAGATGTATGTGTGTTTCTCTGAAGGTGTAAGTTCTCTGGAGACCATGCTCGCACACCTCTTCTCACAGCTGTTTGTCATCAGTGTTCAGATCATCCTTCTGCTGATCTTCACTCTACTGGTCTTCAACGTGAGTGTGTCTCTGTGTGTGTGTGTGTGTGTGTGTGTGTGTGTGTGTGTGTGTGTGTGTGTGTGTGTGTGTGTGTGTGTGTGTGTGTGTGTGTGTGTGTGTGTTTTTGTCAGCTGCTTGTTGATCTCTCATAACACTTTAAATGTGTGTCTCAAGGTTCAAGAGATGTGTGTTAGTGTCTATAGCATAAACTAGAGCTAATGCTGAATCTATGTTTATTTCTGTTTATTTCTATTTATAAGTAGAAAGGTAATTACATTTTATACTAAACATACACATCAAAAATCCCTACCAAAAGCCACCCATGGTGTTTGCCTTACATCGAGTCTACCATAGGGAGACATAATTTCAGAGAGACCTGCTGTGAGGTCTGCAGTAGCGGATTTACACAAGACCAAAGCAGTCTAAAGCCAAATCTGCCAAGTCAAAGAGCCAATCAAATTATCACATCTTAGCTTTTAGGAGGGTTCTTTTACCAGAATATGTTTTGTTTGATAACTAAATAATTAGAAATTTGTGGACAATTTTTTTTTCAAGCTGCCATCTGGGTATGTTTTATTTCCTGCTGTTCAAAATGTTTAAGTTACTTTTTATAGTTTTGAACGAAGTTTATTATACTTACCAAAGATAAGTCACTTAAAAAATGCTGTACTATTGTGAAATAGTTCTATTTTACTTCTATTTAAAAATATTATATTTTCATAAATTTCTAAGAATAATACACTCTTTATAGTATAACATATAATTATGATGCCAAGGCTGAATTTTCAGCATCATTCTCAAAACAAATAAAATTATTGATGCTGATTTTTTTCTCAGAAAACAATTTCTTCTGATTAGCATTAGCATAGCATTTTGTGGAAACCATAAAAGTTTTTCTTCTAGGATCCTCTAATTCATTCATTCATTCTCATCCGCTTTTCTGGGGCTGGGTCATGGGGGCAGCAATCTTATGAGAGAACCTTCCCTCTCCTCACACTTTCTCCAGCTTCTTTGGGGGGATCCCGAGGTGTTCCCAGGCCAGCTGAGAGACATAGTCCCTCCAGCGTGTCCTGGGTCATCCCCGAGGCCTCCTCCCAGTGGGACATGCCTGAAGCACCTCCCTAGGTAGGCGTCCAAGAGGCATCCGAAACAGATGCCCGAGCCACCTCAACTAACTTCTTTTAGCAGTGGCAGTGGGGAGCAGTGGCTCTACTCTGAGCTCCTTCTGGGTGATAAAGCTCCTCATCTATAAGAGTGTGCCCTGCCACCCTGCGAATGAAACTCATTTCAGCTGCTTATATCTGAGATCTTATCTTTTTGGTCATGACCCAAAGCTCATCATGACCATAGTTGAGAGTAGGAACATAGATTGACCAGTAAATCAACAGCTTTGCCTTTTGGCTCAGCTCCTTCTTTACCACAACGTCCGGTGCATCGACCGCATTACTGCTGCCACTGCACCGATCCGCCTGTCAATCTTGCTTTCCATCTTTGACTCATTCGTAAACAAAATCTAGGGTAAGAATTTTCCTCCAACCCGTAGATGGAACATAGGACAAGGAATGCCTCTAATTATTAGCAATTAAAAAAAACTAGTTATTTGAAATAGAAAATAAACTTTTCATTACGAAAATTGTAATATTGTAAATGAATACATTCTTGTTAAGTATGAATTTAAATTAAATCTTCCCAATGCCAGTGCATGTGTGTATCAATATCTAGACTGAATACATGCCTAAATCCTTGAAATGCATTAAAAGTCTAGCTCCTTCCAGATATGTTGACCTTAGAGGCTCTCGAAGATCTTCTCACACTGATGTTCATAAGCATGTCAGGTTGGCCTAGGGTTTCATCAGGGGGATTTGAGCTCTGTGAATTGTCATGAGCTCTGTAAATTTTTGAAACAGCTCTGAGACTGAGCCATATAAATATTTTTAATCATAAATAATTCCTTGCTTTGCTGCTGGTGATTTGTTCTTGACCACCGAAGCAACAAAGGGATTGCTTTGGTAACAGAGCCGGCTGTAGATTACAGATTCTATTTCTGTAAAGCATTGACTTGCATTGACTGTGCTGCGTAATCACACTTTAAGAGCTGTGAGCTTCACAAAACATACACTTCACACTTGCTTAAGGTTCCTGGACTTGTGTTATGCCAGCATTCCTTGATGACTGAATCAGACTAAATCAGCAACCTATTGTTAAATATTACACATATGTATTGTTTTTGCAACACAATGCTAAAATGGTATGTTTTACTATATACAGCCTAGAGATTGAAATATATCTTTACAGGAAATGCACAGGTATGTGTACTACAGACTGAAATAAATGTGTGAAATAAATCAACCAGATGACATTTTTCCATTACATTAATGTTATGTAAAAACACAAAATAACACTTATTTTGATGGCCAGTTTTATTCATTCTGTTAATTTTAAGTAGCTTTAGTAATTTAATATGTTATATAAAAGTTTCTTTTTTTTTTCCATGTTTTTTTTTAAGAAAATTATTCTGTTCATCAAGGCAGCATTTATTAAATGTTAAAATTTGTTAATTTGTTAAATATTTATAAAAATTTAAAATACCTGCTTACATATTGTATGTAGTTTCATATGAAACTATTGCTTCAGTCATTAGTGCTTTAATTACTATTACTATTAATAATAATAATAATAATAATATGAATACTACTACTACTACTACTACTACTAATAATAATAATAATAATAATAATAATAATAATAACAGGAACCACCAGATCCTGCTATCTACGCTTGAGTCACTGGGCGTTGCGGGCACTGTTATACAATGGTTTAGATCTTACCTCTCTGACAGGTCATTCAGGGTGTCTTGGAGGGGAGAGGTGTCCAACCTACAGCATCTAAACACTGGGGTACCTCAAGGCTCTGTTCTTGGGCCACTTCTCTTCTCCATCTACACATCATCTCTAGGACCAGTCATCCAGAGACATGGATTCTCCTACCACTGCTATGCTGATGACACCCAGCTATACCTCTCTTTTCATCCTGATGATCCCTCGGTTCCAGCTCGTATCTCAGCCTGCCTGTTGGATATTTCACACTGGATGAAAGATCATCATCTTCAGCTGAACCTCGCAAAAACGGAAATGCTTGTAGTTTCTGCCAACCCGACTCTACACCATAACTTTTCAATCCAGATGGATGGGGCAACCATTACTGCATCCAAAATGGTGAAAAGCCTTGGAGTAACGATTGATGACCAACTAAACTTCTCTGACCACATTTCTAGAACTGCTCGATCGTGCAGATTTGCACTCTATAACATCAGAAAGATCCGACCCTTCTTATCTGAACATGCAGCTCAACTCCTTGTTCAAGCTCTTGTTCTCTCCAAACTGGATTACTGCAACTCTCTACTAGCTGGGCTTCCAGCTAACTCTATCAAGCCTCTTCAACTGCTCCAGAATGCAGCAGCACGAGTTGTCTTCAATGAACCTAAACGAGCACATGTCACTCCACTGCTAGTCCGTTTGCACTGGCTGCCAGTTGCTGCTCGCATCAAATTCAAAACTCTGATGTTTGCCTACAAAGTGACTTCTGGCCTAGCACCTTCTTATCTGCACTCACTTCTGCAGATCTACGTGCCCTCCAGAAACTTGCGTTCTGTGAATGAACGTCGCCTCGTGGTTCCATCCCAAAGAGGGAAAAAATCACTTTCGCGAACGCTCACGCTCAATCTGCCCAGTTGGTGGAATGAACTCCCTAACTGCATCAGAACAGCAGAGTCACTCGCTATTTTCAAGAAACGACTAAAAACTCAACTATTTAGTCTCCACTTCACTTCCTAAGCTGCAATTGCCTCTTTGAATATCACACTAATTGTACAAAAAAAAAAAAAAAAAAAAAAAACTACTAACACTTCCCTTCTTAGACTTTACAGACCTGAAACTTGCCTTTAGTACTTATTCATTGTTGCTCTTGGTTGTGTAAATTGCTTCCTTGTCCTCATTTGTAAGTCGCTTTGGATAAAAGCGTCTGCTAAATGACTAAATGTAAATGTAAATGTAAATGTAATAATAATAATAATAAAAATAATTAATATTAGAGTGATTTCTGAAGGATCATGTGACTGAAGACTTGAGTAATGAAGCTGAAAATTCATCTTTAAAATCACTGGAATAAATTATTAAAATAAATTAAACTACTTTTGAACAATTATTTGCTACAATAACATTTTACAATTTTACAATCTGTGCTGAATTTGTAATAAAATAAATGCATCCTTGGTGAGCAGGAGAAGCTTATTTGAAAACATTTAAAAATCTCACTGACCCCAAACTTTTGACCAATAGTGCACTACATACTCATTCTAGCCTGTAATTATATTTATACAGTTGAAGTCAGAATTATTGAACCCCCTTTAAATTATTATTTTTTTTATATTTCCCAAATTATGAGCAAGGAAATTTTCACAGTATGTCTGATAATATTATTTCTTCTGTGGAAAGTCATATTTGTTTTATTTCGGCTAGAATAAAAGCAGTTTTTAATTTTTTAAAAAACATTTTAAGGTCAAAATTGTTAGCCCTTTAAAGCTACATTTTTGTTTTTGATAGCCTACAGAACAAACCATCATTATACAATAACTTGCCTAATTACCCCAACCTCATTAACCTAGTTAAGCCTTTAAATGTCACTTTAAGCTGTATAGAAGTGTCTTGAAAAATATTTAGTAAAACATTATGTACTGTTATCATGGCAAAGATAAATTAAATCAGTTATTAGAAATTAGTTATTAAAACTATTTATGTTTAGAAATGTGTTGAAAAAAATCTTCTCTATGATAAACAGAAATTAGGGAAAAATAAACAGGAGGGCGAAAAATTCTGACTTTAACTGTATATGTATTGTTGTTGTATTATTGTTATTATTAATAATTCATTCAGTCATTCATTCATTTATTAATAAGATAAGTGAATATACATACATTCTTTTTTTAAATGCTAAAAAATACCTTGCTGACAAATTGTACAAATGGTAAACAGGTCATTTGTATTTTAGGGTGATCCCAAAATGCAGTCTTCTAATATTTTAGCAAATAATGGCCAATGTATAAACTGAATGACATTTTAGTGGATGTCTCCTGTAAATCATGAGGCAACAAAACTTTGTTTTTTTTATTATAGAAAATAAAATGAAAAAAACATGGGTTGGAGAATTATAGTCTATATAGCAATTATGCATAGCAGTATTCCCTTAGTATTAGGATTTTATAGCCCACATCACACCTTTTGTTCTCCACGATGGACGTCCAGCGTTCTCCAGCCTCCGGCGCCTAGACTACAGCTCCACATAAGAAGTTTGGCCAGAGGAGAAATGGTCTGCCCAACAGAGCCTGGTTTCTCTCAATGTTTTTTTTCCTTCACTTCGTCAGTTGGTGAAGTTTTCTTTTTCTTTTTTCCTAGCTTGCTTGGTTTGGGACTTGTGGAGCTGTGCATCAATGGATTTGCTCTTTAGTGTTTGGACTTTCAACAGTGAAATTTAAACCACACTGAACTGAACTGAACTTCACTTCTGAAATCAGGACTTTACTAGAATTTCTATGTTAAGCTGCTTGGACACAATCCACATTGTATATTTTAATATATGTGTTGAATATATTATTAACATTTTATCTCAAACCTGAAAAATGTGATTACAAACTGTGCAGTGGAAAATTAAATACAGTTTTTATCTGATCTTTCTCTCATGATTATTATAAGCATGTTTATTGTGTCTTTGTCTGTGTGTTGCAGATTCCTAATGAAGGCTCTCTGGCTCTGGTGATCTCACTGATTGTGCTGCAGGGAGTGACGGGGATCTCCTTTGGTCTGGTCATCTCGTCTGCAATCGATGACGAGCAGTCAGCCAATCAGGCGGCTCTTGGAGTCTTCTACCCCAACCTCATTCTAAGCGGTACAACTCACAACTCTCTCTCACATCTCTCTCTCTCACATCTCTCTCTTTTTTACTGATATTTTATTTTTAAGTTATCTTTAAAACCTTTACACCAGAACTGATGCAGCAAGTGATATTTCACCCCAGAATTGAAGATTTACCAACCACTGTCTTTCTTCTGTTGAACACTAAATAAGATAAGATTTGTAAGACTCCGTGATTAGCACTGTCGCCTCACAGCAAGAAGGTCGCAGGTTAGAGTAGTAGTTGGACCAGTTGGCATTTCTGTGTGGAGTTTGCATGTTTTCCCAGTGTTCGGGCTTCAAAGACATGCACTGTACAGGTGAATTAAATAAACTAAATTGGCTGTAGTGTATGTGTGTGAATGTGAGAGTGTATGGGTGTTTTCCGGTACTCGGTTGCAGCTGGAAGGACATCAGTTGCATAAAACATATGCTGGATAAGTTGGCGGTTCATCCCGCCGTGGCGACCCCTGATGAATAAAGGGACTAAACCAAATGAAAATGAATGAATGATTGAAGACTTGGAAATCAGTAGGTGCTGACATCTATGGTATGAACAAAATCTATAGACATCAATTGCTACGTTTTCAGCATTCTTAAGCATTTCTTCTTTTGTGTTTAACAGAAGAGAGAAATGCAAACAAATTTGGAACAAGTGGGTATTGAGTAAATAACTAAGTTTTCTCTTTTTTTGAGGAGGTGAACTATGCCTTTAGGATTTTTTTTTCATTTCTCCCTCCACAAATGGTACAATCCAACAAATAATATAAGAGCCATTCGAGGGTAAAATATTTGGGTGTTCAAAATATCCAGTTCATTAAATTATGTGATGTGAATTGATTGATTGATTGATTGATTGATAGTGGAATGAAATAAATAATGTGAATGATGATTCACGATTTAGATAACAATGGAAAGTAAATTTATTTGAGCACTGTAAAGGGACATTCTGAGGTCTTGATCCCACTTGCTCTTCATATTTCACATCAACTAATTTGTAGTTTTCTGCTCAAGCAACACAGACACACTAGTAACTACTAAAATATACACATAGAAAGTGTTCGGGAGGCGATTTGCTTTAATGAATGTAGTCATCTGTCTGCTTCTCTGTCTAACTGCTGTAGGTGTTATCTGGCCGGTTGAGTGTATCCCATATCCTCTGCGATATTTGAGTCTCGTCCTGCCACAGACATATGCATCTGAAGCTCTGCGCTGTATCATGTACAGAGGTACAGTATGACCACTCGTACATCTATAATCATACATCTATAGACCATTTTGAGGGATTTAAATAATAACAATGGTCTGTATGTATTTCCTGTTTTACATTTTTAACTTTTATATCTTCTGAGAATCCAAAAACGTCCACATATTGAAAAATAATGCTATGACAGCTTTTTTATGTTAAGGCATGATTGAATTGCCTTTTGTTACAGTTATGAAATGGTTAACAAGCAGCAAATGTTCATGGGTCAATGACATCACCACATTAAAATAGTCTATATAATGTGATTAGTGCTGCCAAGTAATTTATCATAATTACTTTAAATAAATAATATTTATTAATATGTAGAAAGTATTTTTAAAGAATATGTTAATTTACATATAAACTGCATGAAATTAAAATATGCCATATAGACTATAGACTTATTTCTTAATTATATAGCAAATATTATAGTATTAAAGTATATTTTAAAATATTAAAGTATATTTTAGAATTTATTTGTTTAATTTAAGTATATCGTATGTAATTGTTTAACACATATGTTTATTAAAATATAAATATTTATTCTATTTTCCTTAAAATATGTCAAATAAATATAAAAAATATGTAAATATTTTATTTATTAGAATAAAAAAAGATTCAGATTTATTTAGTTCTAATAAACGGTATTATATTTAGGGTTATTAGCTTCAATTATGCAAGATTTTCTATTAGAATTTCAAGCACATGCAACAAAGACTCTAGAATGAAGCATTACCTTTTGTTATTTAGTTATTATTGTTGACATAAGGCATATTTAGAATTTAATTGTCACTTTTTAAGCCGGTACATCTTCTTTCAATGTCCCAAAATAACTCTGTATAAAAATAAAATGAGCAACAAACTCAAATGTGTGCATGTAAAGTCCAGATGGTGGATGTTGTTTACAGTTGCAATGTTTAGTACAGGTGGAGTCTTCTCACCTTTCACAATTCATGGAAATGGTGTGTCTATAATCTTGTTTCTAGCAAACCTCAAAGCTAATCTCCTACCAACAAACTTCAGAAGTATAACGTCTCTTCAGTCCACACAAACACACAGTAATCTCCTCTGAAGTCCCACTCATCTAACATTTTCCCTGTGCTACAAACATCTTGGGTTACAGTAGACTTCAGGACACCCAACACTCTCACGTCTCAATTATTCACAGAGCAGGAGGAGCGTCTGCCTCCATTCCTAAATTAAACACACGACCACACTGCTGTGTACCTGCCTGCTCTGCTCAGAGACTTAGAGAAACACACACACACACACACACACACACACACACACACACACACACACACACACACACACACACACACAGCTCAAGTTCAAGTTCATACCCACTGAGGCTGATTGTCTGTTGAGGGGAGATCAGAGCTGAGACTGGAAATGTGCAGACTACACAAACAGGGCTTTCCCCTTCATTAATCTGCAGCAGTGGCAAAAAAAATCTATTGATTAAATTTTGAAAAATATAAATAAAATAAGTATTAATTGTAACATAAATACAAAATTTAAATAAACGGAGCATTTTCAGTAGGGCCTACACACATTCTCAGTCCCTAATGAAAAGTAAAAACTGGTTTCTTAGAAGCTAATTACTTAATAAAATTAAAGCTAATTACTTAATAAAAATAAATCAATAAAATTATTTTAAAAATTTAATTTAAAAATTAGATTACTGAAATTTTAAAAAGTGTAAAGATAAATTGATATAAAATATAAATGAATAAAACTGCTGGAAAGCTTTTAAATGCGACCTATGAGGGGCCTTTGTGCACAGATGCTACCTGCAGAATCAATGCCTCATAGGGTAATATTTGCAGCTCAAAAATGTCTAGTCGAGAGTACACTTCTATCAGTACTGGAATACGGAGATATAAATATGCGCGCACCTCTAAACGTTTTTTTTTATTGGATATTGTTTATCATAGTGCCTCATGATTTGTCACTGGTTCAAGTGCATGCACACATGATTTATATAAAATGACAGAATGGACCTCGTTACAGTTTTTAATTTAATTTTTAAAGCTTTAGAAATTACCACAGCCGGTATCTAGTTATAATAGTACTATCTAATAATAATAATAATAATAATAAAAAGTTATATTACTTATCAATAAACAACTAAAAAAATTAAATAAATAAATTTACCTCTGAATTTAACTTCTTACAAGAACAATTTTAACAAAGGTAGATACATTGGACATTTGTACATACGTTAAATAAAATGCAAAGAAAAAAATCACAATAGCATATCTTTTATCTTAGTTATTGCACAAATCCATGAGGTCATAGTTATTGTTAAATCGCCATGGATCCTTGTCACAGACAGTTCCATATTTGCAATGTCCAAGAACATATACATCCAGTGTTTCTGGTCCAGGGAGTGTGGAGGGTAATATTTTGCATTGAGTTTTTATTTTTATATTTTTTGTTTCAATTTTAAACTTTTAGTATTTTAGTTGTTGCAATTTAATTTAATCTTTTTTACATTTAATTTATTTATTTTTAACTAAACACTAGTTAAACTAATTAAAAACTAAATTAGACATCATTTCTTGGCAGTCGGATTAGGCAAGAATTTGTTTAGGTGTGTATTTTTTCAGTTAATGCTTATTTTACAAAATAATTTGTATTATATAAATTTTTTATTATATTAATTATTTTATTTTTAAATACAATAACTACAATAGTCACAATTTAATGGAAATTTATAAACGTAGACCTGAACATTCTGTATTGAAAATTGTTGAAATTTATAGTCATAGTTTCACTTTTCATAAAAGTACTATTTCCTTAATGCCCTAAACAGCCAGACTGTTTACTTATAGATTTTATACTCACCTTTATAAGGTGAATATTCTTCCTTTCTCATGTAAAACAAAACAGCTTCCGCAAATTAAAGTTAAATTAGAGTTTTCTTATCATGAGCCTACATTGATTTCCTATCTGTCATGACTCTGCTCCTCTTTTGATTCTCTGATTTCTCATTCAGGATGGGGTTTGTCCCGCATGATGGTTTGGCGAGGTTTTGCAGTCACCCTTGGCTGGAACACATTCTTCCTCATGTTGGCGACCATCATTCTCAAGCTGAGAACGTGAGAGGCTCAGCTCAAAACAGGTGCTTCAGATTGGGTAAAGGAGTGTCTGTCGAGGCCAAAAACAGGATTGACACATGGATCTGCCAATCAGAGCCTCTCTATCTTCTTAATATGCCATTCACCCAAAACTGGCCTCCAAAGGACCATTAGTGTGAACTCAGGGCATTTCTCAACCAGCTACTCTTAGAGACGTGTTCTACAAAATATTCCAGTATCGAGTCGACTGACAATGTGAAGCATAACACTGCTGGAGCTACTGTATCCATACTCTCTTCGTTTTCTCCAGTTTATATAATGCATCCAAGTAGGTTCTGCGTGCCTGAGTTTCTTTGTGTGTTCCATATGCCTTGTATGTGCCAGTAAACCTTATTAGACTGGGTAAAAGCACACACCTATAAACTGCTTTAGGTTAGATGGCCTAAACAGAAGGAGTCTCCTCTCTTTGTACAGTAGTGTTTTGTTTTTCAAAATCGCTGCTTGTTCATTGTTTTTTTTTTACAATAATAGTTTTTCTGTTTGAGTTATAATAATCTATTCATGTGCCAAAAAAGAAATGAAGGACGAACAAGCGATGTTTACATTTGTGCACATAACAGGCGAATGTTAAACCTGATAGTTGCACTCAAAAGACGAGTTTAGTCTGCGCTTTAGGATATTTTATATATGAACGACAGCACAAACTGCATCACAATGCAAGCCATATGCTGAGTTGCTTGGAATGGTGAGAATAGTTTGAAGGATGTTTTAGCGTGCAATATTTGATGAGGAGATACTTTACATAGAGGTTTTGGGTATTCATTTTAGATGTGAAGCACTGTTCTTATAAGATTACAACCACTTTAGTAGACTTAAATTTTCTCCACTTCCACATTAGGATTTTTTTGTCTCTACATTCTACCTTCACAGACCAGATCTAGGTTCTGGTTTGGTTTTAATTGTATGGGTTCATCCAAAAATGAAAATATGCTGTTATATGAAACTAAATCAATGCCAAAGGCATTGAAATAAAAAGCTTGTCGAATAGCACTAACTAAAAAAAATAATACACTGAATCAACAACTGCTTGCAATTAAGTGACTTGAATTGGTGGGGTTTGTAATTTAGGTCCTAAAATTTCCAATAGTATCTGCATGCAGCCTTTATGATGCAAGCTGAGACTGCATCACTCAGCGATGCACTGTCAGACACAATGCACTCAAATGGAGCTAGTGACGTTACTGTGACGGGTAGGGTTAGGGGTGGGGTTAGGTGAGCCCATTAAAAAGCATTGGATGCAGCCCAGATTGCACTGCACCAGGTCTGCAGCCAGACCCCTCTCGAAATTTCACACAACTGTTATTTAAGCTGTGAATATTTCAGTTCAAAACATAATTTCATACTTAAATTCAATACTTCACATTAAATTTCCAGATTTCCTTTGCAAAGTATTCAGTTCTGTTTAAAAATGCAAAGTTATAATATTCAAAAGACGGTTTTCAGATTATTTTATTTCAGTTCAAAAATTTGCTTCCATAAATTCAGGTGTTCATATTCGGCGAACCTGCGATATCGGAATGGGAGCAATCAACGAGGAGGAAAAAGATTGCTGGGTAATCACTTGAGATCTGAAAAAATGAGGTTTACGTGATCCCCAGCTGGCTTTCCATACATTAGGGCAAATATAAACATCAAAACATCTACATTTACTCATTTTAGGCCTTCTCATAATCCTTTTTTTAGTCTACTTATAATATCCAAGACATTGATATTTATATAAAATGCAATTTTTGTGCCGTTATTTGCTTTTTCCCTCACCTATTCATCAGTTTAAAAATCTTAAATTGGTCCATCTCTACCTGCTGGTGAAAAAGCAATCTGCAGTCTATCGTATCTGCTATCTGCAATCTATCGCTTTTCCTGCAGTTCCTGGATACAATGTAGAATTTTAACAGTTGAATTTAAAACGCTGATTTTATGGAAGCAAATTTTTGAACTGAAAATTGTCTTTTGAATATTATACTTTGTATTTGTAAACAGAACTGAATATTTTGGAAGTTAAATCTTGAAGTTGAATGTGAATTATTCAATTTAAGTATCAAATTGTGTTTTGAATTGAAATATTCACAGCTGTGTTAAATTTTAGGGCCTAAATTACAATTCAAGTCACTCAAATGCAAGCAGTTGTTAATTCAATGTATTATTTTTTCAGTCAGTGCCATTCAGCAAGCTTTTCATTTCAATATTTTTGTCACTGATTTTGTTCCATACTGTTAAATTGATCACCTTTTGTGCAATCTAGATGTTGGTGATTTTTTTCTTTTGTGCAGCAGTGAAGTTTTCAACTGAGACTGTGTTTTTGGTGATTCATAAAATGTAAGTTAACAACTACCAGCACTCAGAAGGCAAAATAGAATTGATAGAGTTTACAATGGGGATGGAGGAATTGCATTTTATGAATCCTCAAGGACCACAGGTTGAGCTAAAAAAAGTCATTGTTTATTGATTATTGTAATTTAATTGTAGTTTTTTATTTTTGGGTGAACTATCTCTTTTTAAGTTTCTACACCACAGCCAAAAGCACAGACTCCAAACTAAAAGACTTTTTAAGTTACAAATTAGTTTGAATACAAATTAGATTGATTTAAAGCTACCTTTAAATTTTATTCCAATTTATATTAGCTGAATTTTAATATAGCATATACTTAACAATTATGGGGCGATTGTTCATTTATTGTAGTAATAATGACGCCCACAATAAGATTGGAATTTGGTGTTATGTTTATGTGATAGAGCGTAGGCTGACAGTTGATTTTAGGACTAGAGCTCTGTTGGTTCTGGATTTTCTGTGTTTGGCTCCGGCTGAAGCTTATAGAGACAAATGATTGGCAAAGGTTTGGTAGGTACTGTGCCATTTTGAAAGGTCATCGTGTCACCTCTATATACACACACACACAAGACCATCATTTGCTACCTCTTGAATTGTTGCATAAATTTCCTTATACGTGTGCACACTGTTCTTGTTATTTGTGTAAAATTATCTTTATGGAGCTGTTGACATCTTTTTCAGAAATAAACCTTTTCAAAAAGATGACCGTTTATACTTGTATAATAATGTTAATCTAAGTAACCACTCATAGTGTTGTACCTTTGAAATCCTTCATTACAAAGAGCCCTTGAAAGTGACTAGTTTTGAGCACTTGAGTTTGGAATGACACTTTAATATGGTGGTCATGATTGTTTTCACTCTGAAGATCCTTTGAGTAGGGAAATTTAGTGAATTTGGCTTCACACACTTCGTTCAGTTCAGAAGGGCTCTTAGGGCATTGATGAGCTTTTTCAAATGGGAAACCAGAGTATAATTCTAATGTGGAAAAAATCTGGGGCCGAAAAAGAACTTGACGTTTGTGCACTCCTCAACAGCCTCTCTATCGTAAGTTCAAAATAACGCAGAAAAAGATGGCTATTCTGTACTATGGTGATGTGTCTTGCCCAGAAAATTAATTCAAACTCCAGTAATCAACACTTTAAGGCAGAGGTGTCAAGCTCAGATCCTGGAGGGCCGCAGTTCCTGCACAGTCCCAACCATGCTCAAACACACTTGCCTGTAGGTTTCAAACAAGCCTGAAGGACTTTATTAATTTGATCAGGTGTGTTTAATTAGGGCTGGAACTAAACTGTGCAAAGCTGCAGCCCTCCAGGAACTGAGTTTGACGTCTGTGCTTTAAGGAGATCAAAATCTTTCACCAAAGTGTCAAACAACATAGGCCTACTTGTCTTATGACAATTGTAAAAAAGAAGCGTATATGATCCATCTCAAAGATCAGTTGCTTTCAAAATGTCTCTCTTCCTGCTGACATCTGACTGTTTGTCCACATTGCGGCAAATGTATTTCCAGCTTAAATTGCTAATCAAAGAATAATAAAAACTTGCGCATATGTTAAATTATATTCAATAGGCTATGCTAAAGTAAACTCACTAGTACACTCTCAGAAATAAAGGTACCTAGAGCTGTCACTGGGGTGCTACCTTTTAAAAACACACAATGTAAAGCAGTGGTCACCAAACTTGTTCCTGGAGGGCCGGTGTTCTGCAGATTTTAGCTCCAGCCCTAATCAAACACACCTGAACAAGCTAATCAAGCTCTTACTTGGTATACTTGAATCACCCAGGCAGGTGTGTTGAAGCAAGTTGGAGCTAAACCCTGCAGGGACACCGGCCCTCCAGGACCGAGATTGGTGACCCCTGATGTAAAGGATACATATTAGTACCTAAAAAATACAAAAGTGTACCTCTTAAAATCTGTAGGTATATGCATTTGCAAATATATACTTTTGAGGTACTATGGACCCTTGAAGTACAAATGTAAACCTTTTGAGAAGGGACCACCCTTTATTTCTGAAAGTGTAGGCTAATAAACTGCTGGCTGCAGTTCAAAGGTGGCGTTAAAAAGGCTTATTCCCAGAATATTATATTTTCATTGTAAGCCTATAGCTTTTTGATGAACCACTTAAAATAATGAATCAGTGTCATATAGACATTGTAATTTGAAACTATTCTTGTGTGAGACTCAGGTCAGCAGCCAACATCCAGAATGACAAACAAAGATGCCTATCAGATCTGAGGGTCCTTATTTTATCTGATATATCTAATGATGTGAATGTCTGACATTGAAAGCATTAAATGCATCATGTCAGTTAATCATTCATGCTGGTGACGTAATGTTAGGGTAATTGGAGAGCTTAAATGCCAGCATCAGTTTATGCGACATGCTTGGTAGATTAAATTACATATTGAAAACAAATGGATTGATAAAGTGTTCAGATTGCTAATTGAGTTGGTCATGAGAAGCTGGACTTTCCTCTGTAATCCCTAGTGGAATTACTGGGAAAAATCCCATTCTCCCATATCAGACATAATTTATTACAGGAAATCAAACTCCACACCCAAGCTGTGATCAGCATTCAGAGTTACTTGTGAAAATACTGGAAGTCAGCCGAAAAGAATTGGTTGATTTTGCTGGATATTATGTCCAGGAATAGGGCTCTTCTCTGCCTTTTCAGTTTGAGAAAGTTTCACAAAATCTAAAGTAATTATTGGCCAAAAATATTCTTGTTTAATAAACCACATTTACTTTATGAAACATATAAATATTAACATTATATGAGAATCAACACCAGTTTTAATATTGAACTACAGTAGTGGACTTGTTCCATCAAGAACTTCCACAACATGGTGATTAAATGACTAGATGACATCACCCGCAGCAGCTCACCCAGTGCTATCACAGTCTATAAATAGATTCTCTGCCAGTCTCTCACTGCTGTGTTAGGGCAGGTTTAGATTTAGGAAGGTAAAATACTAAAGGAATGAAAATCTACAGCTCACAAAATATATTTGAAAGAAAAACAAATATATTTGAACTATTACTCAGTGCAGCTGATGTAGAATACAGAAACATATGTTGATCTGTGTGCACATTGATTCCTCAGGTTTGTTTCTCCATATTCTAAACATTCTGTTGATATATTTTTGTACATGGTTACGGTCACCTTGACAGCCAGGGCAATAATTTGAACGCAATCTCCTAATGGCTGGGATGTAAACCTGATTGCTGTCACACTGTTTTATGTTTCTCACAGCTATTTGTTTTTAATTTTCTGGACGGGCACTAAATTAGGCTCTCAGATCACATTTTGTATAAAACAAATGGCCTTTGGAGTCATTTGCAATGTGTAATTGCAATGGACTTTCCAACATTTATAGACCTTGAATAGCCCAATAAAATGATGTAAAGCCTGTAAAGGGATAGTTCGCCCAAATAATTAATCATGTGGTTATAAACCTTTATGAGTTTATTTTTTCTACTGAACACAGAAGGTAATTTGAAGAATGCTGGTTGCCTGCATCCATCAGCTTCTAATGAAGGAACAACGGTACTATGGAAGTCAATAGGGACCAGCATTTTTCAAAACGTCTTCTTTTGTGTTCAACAAAAGAAAGA